GTGGGGTGCATGGTATTCATAGTTATTAAAATTTATTTTCTATTTTTTAGTTGGATTTTCTATAAAAGCGTATTCTGTTAGTTTTTTTAAACTATTATTTATTTTTCGTTTTTTAATTGAATTTCAATTTGCTCAATTTTTTTTTTAAATATTGAATTGTCATCGGTCCCTAATAAGTATACCAAATTTCGAGTTAATCCGACATTTTGAAGGGGGTCAAAATCATGTTCAAAAATTCCGTTACTAACATACATACATACGTCTGAAGCTAATAAAAGCGTATTAACAAAAGAGAATTATTAATACATTAAATGAACTTAATCTTGTTCAGTCCGTGTTTATTTCGTATATAAATATACACCGACACCTCAAGTGTGTGTAGTGACCACTAACCAAGCAGTAGTCATAAAAATTCTTGAGTTTGGAACATTACACCCAACCGCTCACTCGACACCGCGCGTCAATCGACGCGATGATAGGCCATCCGATCGTAAGCGCTGTTTTAATGTATTCAGTTAGTTATGTTGAAGTTTTGAGAATTTGAATACCTATAAAGAAACTTATTCACCCGTATGATTTGTATTCTGAGAGCGAAATTTTGAAGATACAATTTAAAAAAAATCTCTGTTTTGTTTCGCGTTTGAAAAGTAATCGAAATAATAAAGTTAGTATTATTATAAGGTAAATAGTATTTCGTTGATATTGGGCATTCGCTCCTAGCTTCTTTCATATGACTAACTAAATTAAATTCTATTTAAAATTCCGATATTATTCCATCATTTTATTATATACAATTTATATTTCATTAATAAAAATAGTAAGTACCTACCTGCTTAAGGGAAACTTCAGCATCTACGCAAAACCATACATTTTATTGGTTAGGACAGGGAAGTCCAAATGAGAATTGTTCACGGACCAAGAAATAGCGAAACAACGAACTAGCAAGTCATACACGCTAAATGTTTTCTCAAATATGAATTTATCTTGATGAATCTATATATTAATACGTGAAGCAAAAATTTTGCACCCCTTTTCACGAAAATTGCGCGGACGCAGGAGTATGATAGTTCCCACACTTATAGAGAATACAGAGAAGGAGTGCAGAATATTAATATATTTTTTAATTATGCTTAAACTTAACATTAAAATAATTAAAAAAAATTTACACACACTACCATGTATTTGTTACACAAATATATATATATACTCTTTGTTTATTGTCAAACTTTATTGTATTAATTGAGAATAGATTAATATTGTTTGTCTTTAATATTATTTTTCTATAGTCTTGGTGAAATCTGTGACTATAGAAGGATAATAGTCTTCGACAATAGAACTACAATAATGTTCAAACTTATAATTTCAATTAATTATAGTCGAATTTCGACTACTGCGGAACCACTAGTAAATTTAATTTTATCTTTATTGTACCAAGATATTTAAACACATTCTGCGAATAAGAGTGATTTATGTCAAGACGGTATTACTGGTGGTAGGACCTCCTGTGAGTCCGCACGGGTAGGTACCACCACCCCGCCTATTTCTGCCGTGAAGCAGTAATACGTTTCCGTTTGAAGGTGGGGCAGCCGTTGTAATTATACTGAGACCTTAGAACTCATATCTCAGGATGGGTGACGCATTTGCGTTGTAGATGTCTATGGGCTCCAGTAACTATTTAACACCAGGTGGATTATGAGCTCGTCCAGCTATTTAATCAATTTAAAAAAACCGAAGTGGGTCTTGGTTATGTCAAGACGGTATTACCAACTTCTTAGTTATCATTTACTATCATCCTTCCCGCTCTGAATGACTGAACAACAGTTTTACAATGCAACTATTATATATTACGAATTAGAAGGAGAGTATTAAGCGGTAGGCAGCGGCTTGGCTCTGCCCCTGGCATTGCTGAAGTCCATGGGCGACGGTGACCACTCACCATCGGGTGGGCCGTATGCTCGTCTGTCTACTAAGGCAATAAAAAATAATAATAATAATGCGAATACGAAGCTGTCTGGTTCGAAGAACTCCGATGACCGCCTAACCTAAATTGTATTTATAAATGAGTGATTTAAGAGAAGTGTTGTAGGAAAAATCTAAGTAGCCATCTAGACTCTAATGACTCCATTAAATAGTTCAGTGTTTTTAACATATTTACATCGAATAATTCCAGACCGAGATGCCGCCCAGAATGGTATATTGAATTGGATTAATTAAACGGTGAGTTGAATGAATATATATAAACCGGGTTAACCGGGTTAACTTTTAAATGAAAGGCTTCGGTTTTTATTTAATTAATCATAATCTATGAACTACTACTAAAGGTATGGAATGCTCAAGCGATACAGTTTTAAAAAAAGTGCTTTATTTTAGATATTTTACTGATAAAGAATGTAATAATTTGGCAACTAGGTCTTTTGGTTTCATTGCCCTTATAGGCAGACGAGTATACGGCCCATCTGATGGTGAGTGGTCACTGTCACTCATTTAGGCATGTGCAATACGAGATCATGTTAATGTTCTTTTTTTATTTTATATCTGCATATATTTTTTTCAAATGCGTAATTTGTTCACGTATGTATTTTTCTTCAGTTATATATTTTAGCGGAAGTCAGCAAACACTAAGGTAACTTTTACAGTTCTGAAGAAAGAAAGAATATAGATTTTCCATACATCCTTAGTCTTTTTATATCACAAGGTGTGTGGCGGCATTTACGTTGTAGATGTCTATGGGCTCTGATAACCACTTAACATCAGGAGGGCTGTGAGCTCGTCCACCCATCTACGCAATAAAAAAAAACTCTTCTACATGCATCATTTCTTCCATAATGCCCTGGGTTGTAAATTACATCAGCTAACCATTAACCTGTGCAATATAAAATATGTTATCCTAAATGCTATTTTTCAAAGCGACCTCCAAAATAGAAAAAGATTATAGCGTTTAGAAAGATAGAGAGAGCAAAGGCAAAAAATATGAGTATTACAAAATTGACACTTCTTTGGAATTCTTGTTACTCAAGCAAGTTTAATGGCATGTGATCAGTGTACTCAAACCAGTGTACATACTTCAAATAATCACAGTGAAGATCGAGTTTTTTACTAGTAATGTTTTTATATAATTTCAGTTGATATAAGATTCGAAACATGACTCAATGAAGATTGTTAAATCGGCAATGTACTGCAAAGTAGTGAACATAATTTATCGTGAGATTTATTATTAGATATTATGCTCATTTCTTTGGATATGTTGTACGAATGGTCTACACTGCAAGACTTGGAGAATGGAGAGAACTTTAAGAAGAATTGAAGAATATTTGGTGACAAGATGAAAATAGAATTTCTATAAAACTTTCGTGGCTTCAGAATGTTGTGATAAATATTTTGTATATTAAAAACTTCATAGAGCAAACAATGGCTCGCTTTGTCGATATTTCGAATAAGTAGGTACCTAGTATAAGCAATTATTTTAAGATACTTCGCTGTGTGCATTTGTAAACAAAATAAAATTTTTTTTTCTATCAGTATTGTACCTAATATAAGTTTCAAATTTAGGAAAACTATATAATAATATTAGTTGTAAAACATTCAAAGTTTCGCAGATAGCTTCAGATAGGAATAATACTTTCGCTCTAAAATTTGGTTTGTTATTGCTAATGAATGTTAATGTTGAAAAACTGTTGTTTGGCATTGAAATGAAAAAGAACATATAAATTATAATATTTATGTTGATTGATTCAAAAAAAATTTTTACTGGTAGTAGGACGTATTGTGAGTCCGCACGCACGGGTAGGTACCACCGCCCTGCTTATTTCGCTTATTAATGCGTTTTGGTTTGAAGGGTTGGGTAGCCGTTGTAACTATATTGAGACCTTAGAACTTATATCTCAAGGTGGGTGGCGGCATTTGCGTTGTAGATGTCTATGGGCTCCGGTAACCACTTAACACCAGGTGGGCTGTGAGCTCGTCCAACCACCAGATCAATAAAAAGAAATAAAGATAGATACGCCCGCTAAATTAGCTTTGGCAGTTTTTCATGGGGCTTTGGCTTCTTGTAGAAATGTAGAACATGTGGTAGTTTGATTGACATTCGACAATTATGTGGACAAGAAGCTTGAAATATATACATAATATAAAATTGAACTAGTGAGCCCAAGCGTGATGGCATCCCATAATTGCCAATTTTAATAATGCTACGGTAGTTCAAAATTGGGTAGTAATATGTATATGAAAATATGTATGTCACTACATAACACTTGAGGATACTCTAAGGAATATTTGATGCCGCATTTTTGTCAGTTTCATGAGCCATAACTTAAAATGACTGTTTATTTTTACGTTTTTGCCACGTTACCACGAAGAGGTCGGATTTTGTAGCACAAATACGTTATTTAGCTACTTTTTATGTCTGTCGCACATACGAGTAATAAGTATCATGATTTGAAGTTCAACAGTAATGCGCATATTTCAAAGTAAAATCTAAATAAAATTAGTTTTGTGAATTTCTAAACTAACGCAATTCATGGAAGTATTGAATTATTTTCAAGTTCAATATTGAGTTTAATTTATTACAAAACGCTCCGACTAAAATGGCAATGACACATGAATGTTCTTAGATGTTTAGTGTTTAATTTTTTCACACGACACCTTCCTTATAATGCTACTGGGGAAATTTATAACTTTTCGATTACCATTTTATTACTTCAATTTTATTATATCTATAGTATATTTTACACTGTCAAACGGCTGTTTACTGATCTAAAATAACAAAACAATACGCAGCGAATACGCGGAAATATCCGATAGATTATACCTAAACTTCGCACTGAGCCTATCTATTTCTTAAAGGAGACCCCTGTTAACTGAACCTATAACAACTTTCTTTTTTGTTTTGTTTTGGCAACTTTAATTGTCGTTTTGTTCGTTTGTATATTGTGAAAAATTATATTATGAATACAGATAATAAAAGCACAGTATTTATTAACTTTAAGAAAAATTACACTTACCAACAATGCAATGAGCAGAACCAAAGCGATGACCCCGATGGTGCTGACGGCTATAGCGACAGCTACTCCTGTTCCACTGTCCTCCGAATTCAGAACCCTCGAGGAAGCTTCCGTGGTCATTTCACCGGCGTAACTGGTCAGATCCTCCAAATCGCTCACGGCCCTTGTCGTTTCCATCTCGCTATCAGTGCTGGATACTATTTTACCGTTCTCTTGTGAAGTCTCCACGGCTTCAGTAGTATATTCTACTGCTGCAGTTGTAGTAGTCCAAATTGGTACTTTTGATGTGGATACAACTATAGTCGGTGCAACAGACGGCATGCTTGGAGTGGTAGTTTGATCTATCACTTCATTATCATCTATATTCTCTGAAGTGTATTCGGCAGTTGGTTTTGGTGTTTCCGTTGGCATTGCAGCAGTTATGGTACGTTCCTTTTCTGTATTTATTTCGGTTACCACTTCTATTACAATCGTTGTGGTGTCTTCTAGAGGTGTTGTCGTCATAGTTGTTGTAGGTGGAGTGGTTGTTGACGTTGTGGTTGTTTTTGTAACTGTGATCGGGAGTGTTTCACTTACAACTTCAGTGGCTGCTTCAGTGGTAGTAGTGGTACTGGTTTCGGTAGTGATTTGTTTGGTTGTAGGAACTTGAGTAGTTGGTGTAGTATAAGGTTCATTAATTTCAGTAGCTTCGGTTGTTATAGGTTGTGTAGGTTCATTAAATTCAGTAGTTGTGGTTTTAATTGTAGTAAGTTCATTAATTTCAGTGGTTGCAGAAATAGTAGTAGTTTTAATATTTTCAGTAATTTTATTAGGTATAGTGGTAGCTTCATTAATTTCAATAGCTTTAGTTGATACAATAGTAGGTTCATTTATATCAGTAGTTTGGACAATATCTTCTGTTGCGTTTTCAATAATTTGCGAAGATAATTCTATTACGGGAGGCGTTGTATCTTCTATAGTAGTAGATTCCTCTAGAAGCTCAGTTGTTGTTATAAACTTAGGACGATAAGTGGTTATTGGCTCATCTTTTATAGTTGTCGCTTGGGTTCTAGTGGGAAATACCGGCCGCCAATTGAAGGTTGTTAACTCATACTCTGAATCGTCAGGCGTCTCCGTCGTCTGTGTCGGTACGTACGAAAATCTGATTGTTGTTATTTCAAAATCGTCTCTTGTTTTAGGCAATTTTGTCGTAATTTGGTTTAAATCTTCCGTTTCGTCTTGTGGTGTAGTTATCCCTGAAGGTAATTTCGTAATCGATTCAAAACCTCTTTTAATGACAAGATTATCTTTTTCCGTCATATTTTGTTCCGTTTCTGTTGTAGCTGAAACCCAAGCCGGTTTGAATGCTTTAGTGGTTGATTTAGTGGTGTCCGTTTCCGTGGTACTTGGTTCGGGGCTGCTCTGAACTAAAATATTGCTTTCAGCTGTGACCCTTTCTGTTTTATTTTCTATAATGGTTTCGTTTTGCATGTCGTTGATGGGTGGTGTCGAAGCTTGCACAGACTGCCAAGGAAGTTTATTTTGTTCAACTTCTGTTATTGTTTTGTTAGTAATTTCTTCGGTTATTTCCATGGTTGTTGCAATCGTGGTCGTCGATGTTTTTGTTTCATTCTTTTCTGAAATATCACATTTGACATTAAAACATTTTTTTAAAGTTTAATTGGTGAAATATAAAATTATTAGATAGCAAATAGTAATAGACCTTAGCCTGGATATATTTGAATTTGAATTAACAAAAATCCATTTTGAGTTTAGTTTACCACTATCAATAATATAATATTATTTAATACAAACATTCTAAATTAAATAATTATCTTCAAAACTTGGTATTAAGACATATTTTAGAATGGCTTACCTAATAATTCTCCTACTTTTTGTAACTCATTTTCATCGTCAGTTTTGTACCCTGTTGAGTTTCTGGAGGGGCTTCGTAAGCTAGCCAGAGCCCACACTATAGAAGTAGGTGGTATTTCCATTTCACTCACATTAGAAACTTCGTCTGAAGTGGCAGTTGATGTTCTATACTTTGTGGATCCCCTTTTCCATAATGATGGTATCGTATTATCGGATATTGAATGAGAGTGTACCACTTTTTTGAAGCCTCCTACATCACTCTGAAGCACAGGATCTATTTCAGACGTTACTGTAGTAAGTGTTACTTTATTAGACGGCCTCGGTCTGGGTGTAGTTGTATATTTGTCTTTGATGTTGAAATGCTCCGAGTAAATCGTTGTCGGAGTCGTCAGACGCTGATAAGCTGGCTTGGTTACATTTCTTTTTGGTGCCATCCAAACTGGCCTGACTCTTTGTGTAGTGTAGTGGAACTTCCTAGTTAGAGGTTTATGAGTTGGTGTGCCGGTCTTCAATGTCACACTATTAGGTGAATCATTAACACCGCTTAGATTAAGCCTCTTTGAATAATTCCTGTTCCTACTAAAACTACTTGAGAATACTCTGGTTACTCTCTCTGTTGAAGATATGTAGTTTTGCGTCGAAACCGGAATTATTGAGTTAAATATTGGCAAAGCAGTCGAAATCGGCACGTAATTTGATGAAAGTGTTGAGACGTTTTCAACTGTTGGATCTGGAAACGGTGGTCTAGTAGAAACTTGAATTGGTGTTGGCGTAGTTGTTTTTATTGATGCCAATTCTTCTTCAGATGATGTGCTCATGGTGGGTTCTGCTGGTAACGTATCATTATCACAATCGTCATCATTAGAATGATTGATCGCGTAGGTTTCTGTCGATAGTACAGACATTTCATAATAAATACTAGTGCCGTGTACATCTGATAATTGTTCGTTAGCACTACCAGCTCCCTCGTTGTCTAAAACACGTATCTCTTTGGTATTTTTTATAAAAACAGTAGATTTGTTAGTCGGTGTGTTATTCCCTAACCTCTCTAGGCCAACATTCTCTTTGACGATCTTGTGTACATTAGTGATGTTAGGCGGTGGCGATTTAGCTTTAATAGTTTCTAATTTTTTTATAATACTACCTGAGATCTCTTGGTATTTTTTATCAAAGAAGTCGTTCTTCGGCGTAGTCAGATCACTGTCGAAATCAAAGAAACTTTCCGATTTGAAATTATTTTTGTTATCATTGTGCCCATAGCCGAATGAAGTTTCTTTTGGGAAGAAACTCGAGAATCCATAGGAGGGACTGCTGAAATCTTCTCTTACTTTATTGTTGGAACTCTCGTTGTTGTCATCGCCGAAACTCGGTATTTTAAAAAAGCTTTCATGGAATTTGTTCGAAGAAAACTTTTGCAGCGTTTCCCTTTCTTCTTCCTCGTCTTCGTCATCATATTCTTCAATGCTCTCTTCTCCATTTTTTACAGCAACCGGTGTCGTACTACTAACAGGAGAATTGTCTTTTTTAACACTTTTGGTAATTTCTGTATATCGTGATGTTTTTTTTATTTCCGTTGCTGGCGTCACTATTACAAAATCGCCTGACTCTGTAGAACTTGCTTTACGCAACGGACTTGCTGTAGTGGATTTGAAAAGAGAATGAAATTTGATCCTTCCCCTATCTTTGTATTTAGCGTTTTTGTCTGTATGCTCTTCGGAGTTGTCCTTAGGGTTCAGTTCATTCGATGCATCAGAGCTACGAATCCACGACGTTTGATTTAATCCGTTGTATCTGGAGAGCTTTTCGTCATTGGCCGTGCTTTGTGTCGATTGTGACAAAGCACTACTCACTGTCATGCTAATCAGTAGTAAATTTACTACTAATGCCGCACCTGGAATTCGAGAACGCTATTTTAAATTTATTGTTTGGTTGATTATTTTAATTTTAAATATGTACTCAGGCTAGTTGTAAAGCTGAATTACTTTACAGCTTATTATTGTATTAAGTTATTTATAGTTTCTGTAATTGAAACAAATATCGACGATAAATACCTAAGAATTGAGTAGGTATTTATTCATATAACAGAAATTCAACTAATCTTTTTGAATTATTAGTACACTATTGAAATTTAGAAATTGTTACTGAATGTAACTTTTGTGTTTGTGATTTTTTTAATGGAACCCATTAGTGAAGCTTAAAAGTTATTGGAACCTCTTAGTCGAGTTAGCGTATATGAAAATATTAGCTCGTAATAAACACCACATCTAATGTTAGCTCCCAAGATTAAAAATAGACGTTTAAATTTGATGAAACCATCACTACAATTACAAAATGCATTTGGATAATTTAGTAACGTTCTGTGGAACAATAGTAATTTGACATCGTTAACTAAATTAACGACAGCATACTTAATTAGACAATTCAAAAATATCCAACCAAACTTACAAGCTACAAATGTACCTATCTACTTTTTGACTGTTATTTTTTAAAATGTAAATTGTGTTTTGGTGTGCAATAAAGTGTATTCTCTCTCTCTCTCTCTCTCTCTCACTCACTCTCTCTCTCTCTCACTCTGTCTCTCACATTCTCTCTCTCTCTCTCACTCTCTCACTCTCCCACTCTCGCACTCTCTCACTCTCTCACTCTCTCGCTCTCTCACTCTCTCACTCTCTCACTCTCTCACTCTCTCACTCTCTCACTCTCTCTCACTCTCTCACTCTCGCACTCTCTTACTCTCGGAGAATACTTCTGTGAGTAGACGGAAATATAAAGACGTTAATCGCATTGCATCGTTCGCATTCTCTATAATCCCATTTTCACGGATCCTTTGTAATTTGTGGGTCTAGAGAGGGACTTCGGTTCTCTCTGCATTTTGTACCGTATGTTCCATGGGAAGTGTTCTGTTAGTCTGTCTGTTCGCACCGCTCGCCATTGGAGTAGAGTTCATCCGCACTACCTAGAACCACTGCATTCATCCACAGTGCATTTCCAGAGAACGTTTTTTGCCACGTACCATCCCGCTTTGGCAAAGCTCATTAGCTCCATTCTAAGGTGTTTCCAAAGCGCTATGACATGTCCTTCTTCAAACGACGTTTGCGGAGAGTACTTAACCGTAGGCATCGGTCTGGCTCTACCCTGGCATTGCTGACGTCCATGAGCGACGGTAACCACTCCCCATCAAGTGGGCTGTACGCTCGACTGCACCGAAGCAGTAGTCGCCTAAGCCCATTTCATATCCATATTTTAATAATTCCTCTCTTTACAATCGAAGTGTTTTTCATTTGTTTCAACATCTATATTCTACTCACGGTTAGAAACATTTGATATTTGAAGTCCGGACAAAAAAATACAGACTAAGCATTTTCATATAGGTATCGATGGATAGAAAAAAATGTTTCACTCTGTATGCTACTCGGTATGTTCCGTGAGGAAAGTACTCTGAAGAACTATGTATTTGAGATGACAAAAAACGCAATTAATATTACCGAAACATATCCTGACCGGTGACTCCATTATTCATTTCATATTGTCGTTTGAAAAGATTATTTTTCGTTTATCCCGCTGACCATCGTTCGCTACGCCTCCTGCAAAAGAAATACAAACTTTAAAAATGCGTAATTAAGTAAGATTTACTGATGGTAGGACCTCTTGTGAGTCCGCACGGGTAGGTACCACCGCCCCGCCTATTTCTGCCGTGAAGCAGTAATGCGTTTCGGTTTGAAGGGTGGGGCAGCCGTTGTAACTATACTGAGACCTTAGAACTTATATCTCAAGGTGTGTGGCGCATTTACGTTGTAGATGTCTATGGGTTCCAGTAACCACTTAACACCATGTGGGCTGTGAGCTCGTCCACACATCTAGGCAATAAAAAAAAAAGTGTGTGTGTCCGCTCCGACGCACGACTGGAGTTTACTGGATATAAAAAATTAAACGAAACAATACGAGAAATAGTTCTATATTACGACAACACGATACACTACAGATTATTAACAAATTAACGAGACACAAAACAAACGACTAACAAATATATGAAAATACAATAATGAGAGAAACGCGCGATCAGTACGAGGCTTTGTGGCGGACTGCCGGCGCAGCAGCCCGGCGTCACCTGCGATAACGCGGCCGCGCGTTGGCTCCTGATTGGCGCGCGCACGCATCACGCAATCAGGAGCCAATCAGGCGCATAACGCATTTCGTGTGACATGCTAGTACGATTTTGGTCCCCATAATTTTCATACCCCGGGCCTATATATGTAAATCGATTCTAAAGGAGTAAACTCCAAAAAATAAAAAATAAAACTAACTTAAGTTTTCAAAGCTTTTCATTTCAATTTCGCGGAATTTTCGTCACATTTAATTTTCAGGATAACGAAAAAATCGTATTACTAGTATTATTAGTAGGGGGTATAGTTTGGCGTCGTCGTTGCCTATTTCTGCCGCAAAATAACGACAGGTTCGTCGAGTTGAAGGATGGGAAGTTCTGCCGCAAAGCAATAACGAGTCTCGGCTTGAAGAGTGGCAGAGCTGTGTAATCACATCAAATCATCAGCCTATAGCACTGCTGATCATAGGCCCCTCCAATCCACTGAGCACAATCCTCGGCTTCTCTCATCCAGCTCATGCCAGCTGCCTTGCATATATCTGCGTATATAGTTGTTTATTACACAACACAAATCAGGATTTCCGTCTCATCTCCTAAAGTCGTAGTACAATGACATGACCGTGCTTACAGTCTCCGGTAAGCACTTAAAACCAGGCGGGTTTCGAGCTCGTTCTACGCGACTAGGGAAAAAAAAACGTTAGCTTCATATTCTTGAACCTGTATCCTAGTCTGTACGAAATAAACAATTGAGTGCTATAAATAAATAAATATTTTTACTAACAATCACGCCACGTTAACTGGTCCCGTGATAAGTTCGTAAAGAACTTGTGTTACAGGTACCAGATAACGGAAATAAATGTAAGATTTTTATTATACACATACATATACTTAATATACATCCATAACCCTGGAAAAGACATTTATATTTATCATACAAATATCTTCCCTTGGCGGGATTCGAACCCGCGACCNTGATAAGTTCGTAAAGAACTTGTGTTACAGGTACCAGATAACGGAAATAAATGTAAGATTTTTATTATACACATACATATACTTAATATACATCCATAACCCTGGAAAAGACATTTATATTTATCATACAAATATCTTCCCTTGGCGGGATTCGAACCCGCGACCCCCTTGTGTAGTGACCATGTCACTTACCACTACACCAGACGGCTATAGTCATAGCGTTCACAACGAAACAGTTCTAATTAAAGAAAAATTAGCGAGTACATGAATCAGGTCATTTTCGAGTTAATACAAAAGCATTTTTATTAACATAACGCATTGTACTACTGACCTTAGACTTAGTTTTATTGGACGTGAGTAAGCAAGAAGGACACACGCGTGAAAATTTTTCTTAATAGAATGCCATTGTTGCGTTTCGCGCGCTTGGTTAAAAATCGTCATGTCATTGACTGCCTTGTTAAAACAATACAAAAAATAATTAGAGCAAACCCAATCACGCATAATTATGTGCTAGAATATGACGTGAGTGAAAATTAGTACTATAATATATAATCGGAGACAGTGACGATCAAAATTGAAAGAAATTCGGTCGTTAAGAAACTTTAAAAATTTGTTATTTGGTTTTGGAACGATGTTCCTTATGGGACGATGCGGAGGGGTACCCTAACCGGGAAAAAACGTCCGTAACGTAAGATTTTTATTATTTATGTATAGTCTTAGTATGATGGCTATACAGTGTCTAATGTATAGTCTACGTGATGACGGTTATTATTGTTCATATAGATAGCTGTTTCTTTGTAGTAGAACTTAAAATTAATATTTTTATAATAAGGAACTTCGTTCGTATCCGGTGTCCCACACGACACCACACATCTTTTTATTCTTCTTTTTATTACAGTTCGAATAAAAAATAACAACATGCGATGATAATATTTAAAGAATATAGGGTCTAAAATAATTCCTAGTTTCATTATACACGAAAAATCAAATAATATCAAAACGTTTCTATCTAAATAGTCAATTTAGATCGTTATGATTGTACTATCGATTCGGAATGTCATTTTAGAACATAATAGAATAGTAAAGAAACCTTGACTTGCCCTTTTCTAATACAATGTGTTTGTCGTAACTTAAATTTACTGTTTTACAATCAGTATAAGATAAACATACCTAGAACTAGAAGAGTTCTACATAGCTGACGGTATGCACTCCGTACTCGACAGTACCAACAACTTGGATGGAGCATAATTCGAACCCACACGCTGCCATCATTCCCATAGGCGGATAGGTACTAAGCTGAGGGAGTGCTCCGAGGAATTGTTCGAGATGATACCGGCATCTCGTTTTTACCATCGCACCACCCACCACAGGAGTAGAGTTCATCCATACTACCTAGAGCCACTGCGGTCATCCACAGTGCGTTTCCATAGATCTTTTTTGCCACGTACCATCCGGCTATGGAATGAGCTACCCTCCACGGTGTTTCCCGAGCGCTATGACATGTCCTTCTTCAAACGAGGCTTGTGGAGAGTATTAAGCGGTAGGCAGCGGCTTGGCTCTGCCCCTGGCATAGCTGAAGTCCATGGGCGATGGTAACCACTCACCATCAGGTGGGCCGTATGCTCGTCTGCTTACAAGGGCAATAAAAAAATAAAAAATAAAAATAAGCAACATAGAAATATACATGTTTCATCTTAATTTCTATCGATTCCTAAATAATTTACGACACGTTCTTATTTCGACTTCGGCAACGTTCGACAATGCATTTTGTTGCCGAGATCGCGATTTACGGTTTAGTGGTAACTCCTCCTGCTTGCGACGTTCTCCTCATTACTGAGGGTCGTGACTCTTTCGCTGCATCAATGTATCTTGTACGATTGACAGTGTTAACTAGAAATTTGAAATTGAAGATATTATTCTATGTATAATAGGAGTGATTATTACAACAAGAGCTGTCCGAAATTCGAATAAGAACACATAAATGCATCTTTATAATATTTACACAAACTAATGTTGAATTTTAATTTGTCGTACCTACTCAGTTCTTGAGTCTTTCTTGCATAACATTGTTTGATTAACAAAGATGCGTAACAGAGTAATAAACATTTCTTCTACTTTTCTAAGTTCTCAATTAAATGATGTAGTATCTTTAATAGACTTCTAAGAAGTAAAAAATAGTTCATCGAACATATTTTTCTTTTTATTATGTTTTATAAATTTAAAATGAATGTTTTCTCGACCTCGTCTTTCACTGTTCTCAGATATTAACATTAACACGACCAAAGAGAAATTTTTGGTTAGTTAATTTACCATAATTTTCAGTCATTAACTATCGCTCTTAGAAATGATAGTTTGCGGATACGAATAAATCGAGTTTAATTAAATTAATAACGAAATTAACAAATACAAGAGCGGACGGATAGCGTGGTATGGACATGTGATGCATAGAGAGAAGATGCATGTGACTAGGAGATGTATGGAAATGGTAGTGCAAGATAGAGGGGGAAGAGGTCGACCGAAGAAGGCATGGATGGAGTGTGTGATTGACGATATGAGAGAGAGAGAGAGGAGTGAGTGTTGAGATGACGGCTGATAGAAGAGAATGGNATTTTCAGTCATTAACTATCGCTCTTAGAAATGATAGTTTGCGGATACGAATAAATCGAGTTTAATTAAATTAATAACGAAATTAACAAATACAAGAGCGGACGGATAGCGTGGTATGGACATGTGATGCATAGAGAGAAGATGCATGTGACTAGGAGATGTATGGAAATGGTAGTGCAAGATAGAGGGGGAAGAGGTCGACCGAAGAAGGCATGGATGGAGTGTGTGATTGACGATATGAGAGAGAGAGAGAGGAGTGAGTGTTGAGATGACGGCTGATAGAAGAGAATGGTAGAAAAAAATTTGCCGTGCTGACCCCACCTAGTGGGAGTGGAGAAATAGAAGAAGAACGAACATAAAAAAAAATGACAAATAAAATTTAATAACTCGCTTGATATCTTGACCAATATTACCAGACACTTTGTGCTGTTACGAAATCAGTTTTTGTCGAATCATTAGATTCGCTAATTACACGCTCCGGGAATAAGGGCTTACAGCTTTTTAATAGTTTGTTACAAAAAACACTGCGGGTAGGTCATTTCCGTAGTATTCTAACGGGATTGGCTTTGCTTGGATTTGGCTTTTTATTTATATTTCTAGCCAATAATAGTCGAGGTTTCTGACGCTTAATACAATTATTTGATCTGAAGCTACAATATAACTGACTATTAAGAAATTGTGTGTACAGGGTATAAGTGTAAATACAAAAAACTATTAACACATTTTTTGTTGCGTGGATTTTTTTTTCTTGATATATGAGTTCTAAGGTATCAGTATAGTTACAACGTCTGCCCCACCCTTCAAGCTGAAACGCATTACTGCTTCATGGCACAAAAAAAGCAGGGCGGTGGTACCTACCCGTGCAGATTCACAACAGGTCCTACCACCAGTAATTCCGCAAAT